ATCCCTATGTGATGTATTAATGCCTGGATATGCCAATATTTAGACATTAAAGATACCCTGAATATTCTGAATATTTAATCCTTGTGCCAGTTAAGATCCAGCTTTGGCACCTCCTCAATAATAAAGAAACACACTGGCAATTAGGAAAACCTTTGGGTTTTGGCCAACCCCTCAGGTTTGAAGGTGCAGGTGCAGACAAATCCCCGAGGATGGAAAAATCCACGTGGGAAAAGCCAAGTGCCAAGGATCCCCCCCCTGGAAAACGGGCCCCTCTTACCTCCCCGTAGCCACAAACCACCACCTGCTTCCCTCCAAACATCATGTCCGTCGTCCTCTTAAGGCTGAGGGAGGAGAAAAAACCCACACTTAAAACCAGCCCTAAGAGCTAATCCCGGGATCAGCTGCTGCTCCTCCCCAGCCCCACGGCTGGGTCCTGCACCCCCGAGAATTTTGGGGGCAGAGGAGACCCCAAACCCACCTAAAAACTGACTTTTCAAACTGACTTTTCCCCTTTTTCCCAGCGAGACACAACAAACAGGACCCAGTTTGGGTTTGGAGCCCTTTTTCTGTTGCTCATTATTTGCTGACCCTTTGTTTTGCCACTCCCCAAATGCCGAAAACCTTCGGCAAAACCACGTTTTTCTTCATTTTTTGTGGTTCAAAATCCCACAGAGAGCAGCACAGAGGCAGCAGGGAAGTGGTAACTCACTGCCAGGATCCCAGTGCTTCCCACAAATGAAGTTCCCCCTTCCACTCCTTTTCCTTCTGGTTTCTCCCTAAGAGTGTCCTACATTCCAGGCTATTTTTAGCACAGGAGTAAATAGGTTAGCAGTGCAGGGAAGGTGAAATTCCCTCACTTTTCCGAGACAATTTGGATAAAACCCACAGCAGATTTAATTGCACCTCTGCTCACACCTCCCTTGACCCAGTTTTAGACGCCTGGGCCAGACTTAACCCAAATCCCAACTCACCCCTCAAGGGGTTGCTGTAGAATCCCAGGATAGTTTGGGTGGGAAGGGGCCTTAAAGCCCATCCAGTGCCACCCCCTGCCATGGGCAGGGACAGCTCCCACTGTCCCAGGTTGCTCCAACCTGGCCTTGGACACTTCCAGGGATCCAGGGGCAGCCACAGATGCTCTGGGCAACCCATTCCCATGTTTTACCACCCTCATTTCCCCCATTATTGCTTCCAGTGCCTTGGAAAACACTGCTCCATGTTACAGCTTCCAGTGCCTTGGAAAACACTGCTCCATGTTACAGCTTTATGGATTGTTCATGGAATATGTCCCAGCTGAACTGCAGGAACAAAACTTGTCCTGACCTCGCTTGGCTCCGACAGAATTCGGCGGTGGGAGAGGCGAGGACACAGACACCCAATTCCACCAAAATAAAGGGAATAAAGAGGTGGAGAGAGCAAAAAAAAAAAACAAAACCAAAAAAGATCCCTGAAGATAAAAAAAGGGAAACTAGAAAGGCAAAGAAGGTGGTGAGGAACCTGCTGCTCCACTCACACACCCCGCGGACACAGACGGCTTTTGTCCCGACCCACAAAGGCCAGAGGGACGGGAAGGAGCCACATGTGAGGAATTCTGAAGCAGAGCACAGGTAAGGAAGGGTCTTTGTTCTGCTCTCACACACCAGCTGGGCTCAAAGGAGCCGAGTGGCAGCGGGGCAGAGCCGTGGGCACCATTCCCCGTGGGCTGGGGGGTGTCCCGTACGTACCCGTCCAGGATGGACTCCCGGCAGCAGTACAGGTTGTCAAACTTCTGCTTCGTGACCGAGTCGTTGACGTTCATGGCTGGGACACAGAGCTTGCCTGCCTTGGACAGCTGGTACAGCCTGCATGGATACGGGAAAACATGGCCTCAGGGGGAAAACATTCCACTGGGAAAACACGGCCTCAGGGGGAAAACATTCTCCTGCGCTCTGCTGGGGGGTTTGGGTGGGAAGGGACTTAAAGAGCATCTCATTCCACCCTGCCATGGCAGGGACACCTCCCACCAGCCCAGGTTGCTCCAAGCCCCTTCCAACCCGGCCTGGCAGTGGCAGAGGGTCCCTGGGGGTGGCCCAGGACCCCCAGAGCCTTGGTGGGAGAGGGGGAGGCTGAGCCAGGACCAGCCCCTCGCTGCCCACCCTCGAGTGTTTACTCTGAGCATGTTTTAGTGCTCTTGGGGTCATTGCCACTGACCCAGGGACGAGCCTGTCCAGCCCTGGTGTCGGGACACCGACATCCATAAAAAATGAACCCCCTCCCGCTCACCTACAGGCTGCTCCTTGTCTCCCAGGCAGGATGGGAACGAGGCAAAATGTCAGAGCCATGCCCAGGGCCAAAATCAGGGCTTGCACTCCCTAGGAAAGAAAAGTTTCTAAAAAAACCCCCAAAAAAAAGGCAGTTCTAAAAAGCTTCTGCCTTAAAAACGGGGTGGGATTTTTTAAAA